GTCCTGGTCCTCGAGTGCTGCTGTCTGCATGCTTTCTGTGTTTCTCTGCTCCTTTACACCTGATTCAGTGACTGCAAGTTCTGCAACTTGGTAATCACCCATTCATTCCAATCAGGTGTTGGAGCAGAGAAACCAGTAAAACTTGCAGGATAGTGGCCCTCCAGGACCAGGATTGCCCACTCCTGTTCTACACAAATCTGGGGCTGCAGTAGATTAGTGGTCAGCACTACAGTCTTGTAGTCCTGAGACAAGTTTGAACCCAAGTTGCATGAGAATGTGCATCCACTTTAAACTATTGTTAAAACCTTTCACAAAGCTTTGCTTGCTGTGGTGACCCCTAAATGAGGGAGCAGCCAAAAATAAAAACAAGAGCAACTATTGATCAATACACCAAAACAAGCTTGTTCCATGCAGGCCACTCACAACAACTCACACAACCCAGAGTACCTGCTGCTACAGTACTGGTTTGGTGCCAGTATAACAACACATTCTACAGTCCAGTCAGTGAGGAGCTTTATACACCTGCCATCACAGGACTATCTCAGACCAAGTCAGGAGGATGCAGATATGAGAATCTGTCTGCTCCATGATGGTTCCATGTCATGATCACAATCACAGCAAAGGTATGAGGCAGGGCTCTAGACCGTCAGTATGCCTAACGTTTTTTCTTACAGTAGGTGCACCAACACTGAAGTTAGGCGCGCCCACATTTTTAATTGTGCCACATTTAAACATCGCCATTTTACAGGTTAGATGTGTTTTTAATCCCTGTCCATTACGGCAATATTAAYTTGCAAATAATTAGTCATCATTCTGGCTAATAATTTTAACCAGAATTGTACATGACATATAACATGTTTAAAGTGATTCAGTGACCTGAATTTTTAAATATCCCAAGATAAATGGAATTATATAAATAAGTGCAAATGTTTAACGGCTGAACATCTTATGAACAACTCAAATTGAACATGTCATGGTTAAATGTCTGTTAGAGTACACTAACTCCTGTAGTTTGGCCTTTTGGATCTTTGGCCTTGGCTAAACCAGCTTCCCACTCTCCTTAGCATCAAAATCCAAGGAACAAATGCATCTATCTATTTTGTATTTATTTTCTATGTATTTTTGTACAAGGAGGGTGGGGGTATAAATGTTAAATGGAGACTCATCTTTGCTTTAATAAGAGTCAAACAAATGTTCACCTGTTAGAGTTAATATGGTTTATTTAGAAGAACTCAAACAGAGAATCTCACAGAAAGACTCACTCCTGCATGCACCGCAGCAGTCTCTCACAAGGAGAAAGGAGTTTCATTGCATGCACAAAGTTGGACATATCTGTTTGATAATGACGCTCTGATCACATAAATATTTAATATAAAGTTAAGTTCTAGAGGCCAAAGTCTCTGGTAGCTCAGGAGCAAAGTGTTAAAGGAAGAGAGGTCTGCTCACTCAGGACTGGTTGTGCCTGGCCTCACTAAAAGTCCCACCCTTCTCTTCTCAGATTGGATAAAACATCTCTGGGATTCATTTGATTTGTTGAAAGCAGTGTCCGTTTAATCCTGTAAAAGGATTAAAAAATGGACCTGCCRCCCTCCTCAAATGATTAGTCRCAMCAGTGTGACCAGAAATGTTTTCTAGCCACACTATTAAAAAATCTGGTYGCACTTTAGAGCCCTGTGAGGTCATCATGGCCAGTCCTAATTGAAATCCTCAACAGCCAATCTGTCAGTGCTACTGGTCCCCATGTCTTAAATATGCTGTCACTACGCTTCCCATGCTCCCGCAGTATGGGAATCCAATTCTCTGCCACCACAATGAAAMAGCACTACGACCTAGATACAGAAGTTTTCTGCATGATGGAAACTATTGCGGATGAGTCATACTCTGTCACATGTAATGTTACATTTACTGCATTTAGAATACATGACTGAACCACCCAGGATCCTGCACTGCAGCGAGACCATCATAAAGTGTGAAAGATGGTCCAGGATGGGAGGTCTTATTGGTATGTCTGATCAGTGGATGGTTACAGCTGATTATCCATCCATGTCCTGACTCTTCTCTGGGGTCTCCGATCAGTTGGACATGCCCAAATATCCTCCCTAGGGAGGCAACCAGGGGTGTCCTTGCCAGATGAACCACCTCAACTGGCTCCTACTGATGTGGAGGAGCAGCGACTCTACTGAGTCTCTCCTGCAYAACTGAATTTCTTACCATATCTCTGAGGAAAAGACCAGATACCATGTGGAGAAAACTTGTTTCGACYGCTTGTATCCATGATCTTATTCTTTTGTTCAATGCCAGGAGGTGTGTCTATAAGTGAGGGTAGGAACATAGACTGAAATGTAAACAGAGAGCTTCACCTTACAGCTCAGCTCCCTCCTCAASATAATAAAACCAGCAGAGAAGCCACAATATTACAGACAGTGCTCCAATGCATCTGTCCATCTCACACTTCATTCTTCCTTCATTTGTGAACAAAACCCTGACATAYTTAAACTCCTCCACTTAAGGCAGAATACAGCTGATTAGTGTAGCCTAAAGACTCAAAACAAAAGGAAGTAGCTGGACAAGCACTTTAAACTGSTATCAGCCTCGCAGAAACATTTCTCGAGACTGCTGGCACTGATGCAGTTAACCTGAAACCTTAAAGGTGATGTAAAATAGCATACATGAGCATTTCCCAGTACCTGTGGTGCACATGATATCCTGCAGCATTGATGGTCCAGCCAGGCTCTTTAGGATCAGGAATCTTGGCTGTATTGGCAATCAGATGCTGAACATCCCTCCACGTCAGCTTCGGACTAAAAAACACAAACCAGAACAGGTTGAAACAAACATCCTTCAGATGACTGATAAAGCCACAGAGAAAACAATCCATTTCTGTATGAAACTCTGAAAATAAATTTACAGCAAACATAAAACAGGCCACTATTTAAGCAGGATGTTGGAGGATTGCGCGCRGCTCATATGAAACGCCTGCACTGTATTGCTGCAAGGTTTATTGATACGTACAGAAAGCTGCTGCAATAAGACACTGKCATACCTTTAAAAGTAGTACCTCTATACAATAAAAGCACATATTTTAGTCAAGCCTCCATTTTTAATAATTGCATCAAAAACTGTGAATCCAACAAAGAATATTTGATACTTAACAAAAGAGTCCAGAGAGCTAAATGTAGAGAAAGTCCTCTTTTTAATCCCAGGCAGGGGAATTCTAATAGAGCAGACTCAAGTGTCATGTCAAGCAATATACTAATGGAATCCAATTAAGACCTTTAAACTGCACTGAGAGCTGGAGGATATTAGCTCAGTTTTCTATAACAAAAGACCAAAGGGTCGTCAACGAGGTTTTTCTTTTTTCAGAGCATAAAAAGCATAAAGGAAATTGGACTTTTCTGCTTTATCCACTCATTTTTGTTCCCTAAGAAAATGATTTGAATGGAGCAAAGTAAAAGTGCTCAGGCACCCAATTTGAACAGCTTTTTTTCCCTGAGGAAAAAAAAAACCCACTGCTCTCCGCCTGAACCTCTGCAAACAGCCATTTCTCAGAATGACACACACAAAAAAATTGTTTAAAGTTGTACTACATACTACATGAGAGGCTTTATTTCCACCATYATTAATGAAATCATCATAATGCATGTCGGCTTATCCTGTAGGTATGTTTTCATAGCTTCAGTCAGTGTCAAAAGTTCCACTTAGATGTGAAGAAACTCTGCTGTAAAGGGGGGAAAAACAACAAGTAGCCCCTTCATTATTCTGCTGTTGAGTGTTGGTCGTCTTACGAACTATCAGGCACAGATTTATAGAGATGTATTCCTCTCACATATTTGGAGAAAAAAAATTGAAGCAGAACAAACATGAGGAAAGAAGCTTTGATTAGTGCACAAAACAAAACCATGGCAAGCACCGAGAACAAGCAGCTAAAACAAAAATGATAGGAATAAAACCAGTAACACTAAAATTAGAAGGATGGAATGAAACAAAACATGAAGCACAAACAATTATTTTAAGCTTTGATTTCAAAGGAATTGGACTGCAAGAGTGCGTATGGGGGAATCAGCTTTGTACTTTTGAACTGTTGCTGCTCGCTGCGTGTGTCTGTGTGTATGAGTGCGCGTACTGTGTTACATATTAGCAGCAACAGCGTGATTCTGTTGTGTGCGCACTCCCCCACCTCTATCATCAGCACCATCACCCCTCTGGTGGAATCAGAGAAAGCCCCACGGCCCTGGCTGGTTTGCATAAAGCAAACAAAATTAAATTTGCTTTGCTAAATCAAAGCATGTATGGTATTCCAAGCTGCTCTCTCTGGGACAAATTACTTCAAACGGCCTCCTTTGTATCATAACAGAAATTCTTTTGCGGGGAAGGAAAAAAAAATCAGCCCAATCAGTGGCACTCCAAAACTCTCCACTCAGGAATTAATTATTGAACCGAGGACTTCTCTCTCTCTACTGGCAGCCAGTGACACAGATCTATTTATTCTGAAAAAGTCATGTTGCTCTTAAAAGCACACTGCTGGCTAAGAACATTGCGATCGCCCCTTCTTTCACATTTTACTTCTCTTTGCTACACAACCCCCTAAAGGAACATGTGAATAGCTTTAGTCCTGAAGATTAATCTGAAAAACTCCACAATCAGCATCAGCTGTGCTGCTGGTTAAACAGAAGTGTAACTAATGATGTATTAATGTGCAAAATAATGTGCAAATTTCCCCACTGTGGGATCAATCAAGTTTCATCTTATCTTATCTTATCTTATCTTATCTTATCTTATCTTATACATCAGGACTGAACCGGTAGTTTATTTTTTTAATAGTTGTGTTTGGTTTTGTATAAAAATATAGAATTCAGAAATGGCTCAATGCTTTGTTTTTAATGCAGATAATCCCTACAGCAGATTGTTTGTTAATTTACTAAAATCAGATCAAACTTTAATTATAAAGCACTTCTCATTTAGTTCAGTGTAGCATAAAGTGCTTTACACTCAATCAAAAACAAAGAGACAATGACTGATGAAACTGGGGAAATTTTATTTTATTATTGAGAAAACACCAGGAGTAAATATTAATAAATGTATAGTCATGTAAAAACATGAATTATAAAATTTAAACCAGGGTTATTTAAGTGGCCTGCGGGCCAATGGGCGACTTCCATCCGGCCTGCCAATGAGCCCCCTCCCTGCACCAAAAAAAAGAGATATATTTGTATTTTCATTTCATTTTTTAATTAATTTAATGTAAAAAAAAACTTTTCAAAACATTTGCAGATTTAAAATTTATGTTTCAATGCAACAAAATGCACCCGCCTGGGGTGGGGTCAGGCCCCCAAGCTATGAGCTTCGAGTAATCTTGGCCCCCAGAATGACTTAGTTGAAAAGCCCTGATTTAAACAGCAAAACCAAGACTCCATTGTAAGCTAAAATGAAACAAGTTACTTTTTTTAACCACCAAAAAAGTATAAAAGTAAAGAAGGTTTAGTAAAACAGGTAGAAATAAGTGACATTTAAAATAATTTAGCTGAAAGTCAAACTAGAAGCACAATAAAAGCAACAAATAAAATGTCTATGAGGTCTGTAAAGCCAGATTGAACAGGTGAGTCTTAATTTAGTTGTTTACAACATCAACACTCTCAGCTGTCATCAGGAAGGCGAGGACCGTGGATTTTAGCTTTAAATTTAGGTACAAACTGAAAACTTTTCCCAGAAGACCTGAGGATTTTGGAGTGCTTATTAAGTAAAAGTGAGTGTCATAAATGGGACTAAGTCCATAAACAGCCTTCAAAAACATAAAAACAAAACACTGGATACTCATTACAGCAACTGATCCTGTGGGTAATAAAGGCAGGAACTAAAGTTGCACTGAGTCAGAGGGAAACAGTCAAACTATGACAATGTTCTTGAGATGATAATACTAAAGAGATTTTATTTGAATCCAAAGCTACAAGAAATATCCTTGCTTTTTACAGAACATGTTCTGATAATGCAAAATGATGGATAATGTGATCATTGTTTACGAATCTGCTGTTAATTTTTTATTACATGTACAAAAAAAATGGTAATTTTGAACTTTAGCTAAATCTTCAACAAATAATTGGTGAAGTGAAGAAAAATACACATAAGCCATTTCTGTTTGTAGTATATACAGTGTTAAAATCAAAACATTTCTGGGTTGTAAGGTTTCTTTGAATGAGCTGCCAGAAGCAGTGGGGAGTTTTTCTGGTCGTATCATGATCAGTGTTTTTTCAGTGTTTGGTTTCTGCTTTCAGTTTTGTTGTTTGTTAGAGTTTTTTCTGTTTTCTTTGTGTTTAGTTTGCTCCAGCCACCCTCAGTGTTTTATCCCAGCTCATCTTTGCCCCCTGGTTCTGCCACACCCACTCTCACCTGCACGTCCCATTTAGCCCAGCTGCTCTTCATCTTCTTGTCAACCTCAGTCCATAAAACCTCTTAATTTTTTAAGCCAATCAYGTTTTTTGTCCCGCTCTGCGTCTCCTCATATAGATCTTTTTAATGTAAGTTTTTCCTCTCACAATAACTTTTTGTTTTTGTTTRTACAAATTTCTTTTTGTGTGTTTTTGAAACTGTTGAGTATGTCTGCATTCCTGGGACTAAAACTTCCATAAAAATACGACAAGTCATGTGTAAAGCAGAGTACCACTCCTCTGTCAGTCAGCTGAATATGCTGGCGGAAAGAGGAGAATTCTGCTTTTCTCCAAAAAGACAAAGTTGACTATTTTAAATAATTTTCAGTAGCAGAAAACTCAAACAGGCATGGCTTGTCTACCAGAGGAGTGACACATATCACTCTTTTTTAGAGAACTGTTTTGAAGCAAACATTTGCAACAAGCTGACAGTCAGCTTGTCAAATGGTAAAACTAACCAAAATTAAACACGTGACTAATTAACTAGTCAACATTTACATGTCAGCTACCTGGCCTTTTTTTCCCCCAAAACTGAAACATAGCATTTCCTGTGAAAATGCAGTGTGAATGCTTATTGCTGAATAATTTAGCTGAAAGCTGCTAAAGAAGCTGAAATATTGATTAAATGCAGAAATATCAATGGTTGCTGAATTTTAGCAATTGAGGTGGAACCCAGAATGATGGCTGAAATTTTCTGAAGAACACAAAAAGAGGCAAAAAATGCAGGAAAAATTGAGAAATATGAAGATAAAAAGTAAATGGAGTAGAAAGATGGTTAAAAGATGCAGGAAAAGTTGAAAAGGGCAGAAATAAAAGGAACCAAAGAATTGTTTAAAGTAGCAGTAGTTAAAATTAGCAGAAGAATAGCATGGAAAGTTCAGAATGATAACTAAAATGGCAGAAAAAGGTTGAAATCAGCAAAATAAAAGACACAAGAAAGCTGAAATTAACACAAATAAGTTAAAGAAAGCAGAATTAGAAAAAAATGTAAAAAAGTACAGTAAAGATTTATCAACATTTTGAAAGGTTTTGAGGATGTTGAAGACAGCTCTATTTATTTAAAAAAAGATCAAATATCTTTATATCTTAAAATTACTGAAGACCAAAAATTATAGCTAGAATGGCCTGAAGGAGCTGAATATTTTGATATCCAAATTGTTGAAATGGCAAAAAAATTATGGAACAAAATCCGTGCTGAAAAACTTACGGAAGAAAAAATTATCTCAACAGTGTGAATGCTTTAAAAGCAGGTTTAATAAATTATCCCATGTCTAACACCCAAACACACGCACATCTGCTATGTCTCTCTATCCTTGTGGGGACTTTCCAGTGACTTCCATTCATTTTTTGGAAATTTTATAACCTAATCCTGACCCTTT